GCATGATCTGATGCATCGCGCCATACCACATGACCTGCGCCGATCCCAACCCATCTACATATTTTTCTGCTAACAATTAATATTGTTTTTGTTATTTTTATTATTTTCTTGTTGTACCATCATATTTTTGTAGTTGTTGTGATATGGTTTCTTTCCTATTGCCCTTGCAGCTGCTGTTTCCTTTTTACAACTGCTGCTTGACTATTCTCCAACAGCTCCGATAACATTCTTCTCATGTGTTTAATCTGTTTTTCTATTTTGCTCTGTCTTTCTGCCACTTCTTTGTTGATCGCTTTGTATGTTGTTAAAGAAATTTCTTCCTCCTCAGAATTCATTTCTTTTGCATCTTGATATTGAGATCATAGTTCCCCAATCTTTTCTTTATATATTCTACTTTTTTTTGCTCCTTCTCCAGCATCATCTATTAGTTCCATAAAGTATTGATTTTCTCTTCTATACTTTTGACTTTGTTTTCTAGGTTGCTTAATCTCTTCCTGATCCCTTCTTGTTCTTTGCTTTCTTTATTAATCATTGATCTGGATCTTCTTCTCTTCCTTATTATTTCTGCGAAGAATATAAATGCTTCTCTCTCCAGCCCTTTCCTAAATCTCGACTGGATTGATACGAATTTTGCCTGTGTAATGGATTTGTCTCTTTGGATCTTTACCTCCTCATATTGGAAGGCAATATGTCTACTCTGTCCACATTTGTAGCAGAGTCTTTCGTGCTAGTCCACAAAGTTAATTATTGTTCTGTCCAACTTGAAAGTTTGTTTTTCTACTGTTTTTAACTGGTCCTCTGTTTCAAATGCTATGTATATGAATCTCTTCCTGAAGTATCTGCTTGTTCTTGGGATATACAGGGTTTTCCCTCCTGTTTCTCTTGCTATTTCCTCTAGGTCATATGTTATAGTGCCTGCCGGCAATCCTGCTAATTTAAGCACATATTTGAATCTTCTCACAAGCTTCTCTTTTTCTTCCCATTTTGGAAGTATTCTCAAATACTCTTTTTTAAATAGGATCAACCACATTTCGGCCATGAGTTGTGCATCTTTTTCTTCTTTGAAGGTCATGGTTGTGGTTTGCCACATTTCTACAGGTTTAATTACCACTGTTTGGATATCTCCAAAATTTCTTGGAGTTGCTTTAACTACTCTCTCACTTGCTGAAAAGAGAATGTCTTTTACTATCACTATCAATCTCTCTTCCAATTGGTGTTCCCTTTATTCCACTGGGGTTAGATATTCTCTATTTTCGTCTGTACCAAAGTTGATCTCACATGCCTCCTGCATGTCAATGAAATTTCCAAAATTGGCAATGATTGCCTTTTTTTTTCCTGCTGCTTCTCTTTTCACTCTCACCCCCAAGAAAGAGTCAAAGGCGATACATGCTTCCTTTATCATCTCTAAAGCCTCTGCTGATTCTATGCCTGCCACAAGCTTCATTAAACATGTGTGTCTTGGTTTCCTTTCCAGTTCTCTTGGTTGTCTCTTAATTTTTTCCTCTTTTACCTTTTCTTCATATGCTCCTTTCTTCTCTGCTCTGATATTGGAGCCATTTACGTTCTTCCTCTCCTGCCTCATTTTTCTCTTCTTCTATTTCTTTGTTTTTCTCTTTTCTTGTGTCCATGCTTATTGCTTGTACTGATATCTTTTTCCTTTTTTCTTATCCAAGCTTTTTGGTCTTCCAGGTTTTTTCTTGGCAATAATAGTAATCACTCCTCTTGCTTCTCTTACTGCATTTATTGTTTTCCTCTCTGTACTTCTTTCTCTTTTCACACTTGTCATTGCTGCTTGTCTGACTCCCATATTTTTTTTCCACTTTCTCGCTGCTTTTTCCAATTTCCTAAAAAGGCAATTTTTACTGTGGGGGAAAGAGTTTTATACTTTTTTTAATATATAGTTTGTAATTTAAATATTTATTTTATTTAAAAAATATATACTTATAAATATTTTTTAAATTTAATTTAGAATATATTAATGAGGATAAAAGAATTTCTATTGAAGAATTTTTAGATAATAAAATAGTTAATCAGGTAATAAAAGAAATTTTTCTATCAATTGAATATCAAAATATTAGAACTCATAAAAAACCTGAAGAAATATCTTTAATTCAATTTATTTCAATACAAATTGAAGAAAAAATTCAAATTCTTTTAATTAATGAAGTAATTAAATCTCTTGATAATATTTTGTTTTTTTTTAAACATCTATCTGAAAAAATTTTAAAGTAATAAAATTACATATTAATTCAGTTAGAAACTTATATAAAAAAACAAAAAATTTTCAGTCAAAATAATATTTGTGAAATTTCATTTCTTATCTTTATTAAATATAGTGTATTAAATTATTATTAGTATTATTTTAGGATATTATAAATATATTATTATCAATATTTTTAATTATATTATTATATAATGACTATTAAAGATTTAATTTTGATATATTATGAATAAAAATAATAATAATAACATTATATTTATATTACATTATATTATAAAATTAATCCTTACCAAAAAAAAAAAAAAAACTCTTTTCCACTCCTTTTTTTATACTTGAAAAAAATTTTTTAAGAAACTTTTGAGTTGTTTACTTTTTTTGTTCTTCTTTTTTTTTCTTCTTCTTCTTTCCTATACTCTTTTCTTTCCCTCTTTTTCTATTCTTCCCTTCTTTTCTATAAAACTCTCTTTTACTTGTTCCCCCTTCACTTTTTCTTTTTCTTCTCCCTGCTAAAGTAAGATTTTTCTTTCTTCTTGAAGATTTTTCTTCTCCAAGCCTCTCTTTTCTTTCAAAACTCTGTCTCTTATCTTATCACTTCTCAGGCCAGTAGACTTCCTTCCTTCTTTCAGAAATCATATAAGAAGAGACATGGTTTTTACAGGACATGAGCTCTGGAAATTTGTTTCTTTTATAACTTTTCAGAAAAAGGACAGATGGTTTACTTCTCCAAAAGATCGATATGGTCATTATTATCTAATCTGGTATTGTTTACTTGTTGATGGTTAGACTATATATATATATAAAACTGGTATACAACTATTATTATTAAAAAGTATTTAAGGAGTTGTGTCCATAGTATCCAGAATAATATGGTAGCCAATACCAATATAGCTAACAATAAGCTAGATTAGTCTGCAGGTGTTATGCTGGTAATTGGAGAACCTAGTAGGATAATACATGAAAACTAGGGATTCTAGTTACCTTTGCAATATGAGCTGGTGACTAAGGATGGGTCCCTAAACTATTTAGTATTTAAAATTTTGCAGATCAATTATGTTCCTTTTGAAGGGACATAATTATTTATTCATTACTTTAATAGGGACATAATTCAAAAACACTTGGATCAAGTGTCCTAAATTACAAAAAACCTTTGTAGGTAGTTTTTTTTTGATCTTATATTTTTAAAAAAACTTTTTTAATAGTGAGGGACATTTGAATTATGTCCTCATCTTTAATTTAGGGACTCATCTTTACCTATGATGTGTGTATAGTCAAGCTCATTGCTTTCCTTAGCCAGCTGGTCTACACACTCATTATATTTTTCTCCTGTATGTGTTTTGATCTTTTTCAATATTGTTATTGCTATCCTGTCTTTGATCTTCTCCTGGATGATAGTTGTTGTGAGTATATTTGTTCCTTTTGCTACCTTTTGTTTCACTGTAGTTTCTGATTGTATCACCTGAATTGTACCCTGGCTATCTGTAAATATGGTTGCTTCTGTTTTTGGGTTAAGGAGTATTATTGCTATCAGTATTGTCATTAACTCTGCTTTTGTGAATGATGGGAAACCTTCACATCTGTCTTTGAATTTTATTTCTTTCAGTGTTTCCCTGTTGATGATTATGCCTTCTACTTACATTTTTACCTAATTGTTCTTATATTTTTCCATGGATCCATCTGTGTATACCTCTGTGAATCTTTAATCTTGTAATTGTTCTTGGATATGTTCTAGTTCTTGTAATTTTGGCCACTGCAGTTTTAGCATCTTTAGGTTTGATATATTTGTTATTGGTTTACTGGTGCTGTTGTTGATTTCTATGTGGACCATATTGCCCTTCTCTGATGTTGAGTTGCTTCACTTGTGTATCTGTCTGATCAAGTTTGGTAAGGTTTGTATTTGTGAAAAGTTTCCTATTATCTGTAACTTATATAAATAATTAATAGTAGTTTATTGTTTTCTTATAAAACTGAACTAATAGATTAAATTGTTTAAACTATATACAATATATATGGTGAAATTAAATTTTGATATTTTTCAAAAATTATTATTATTATTTTTTTTTGAGTAGGTAAATATCATTTCTTTATTTATTCGTATATTACAAGGTATACATTTAGAAAGAAACAACAT